CCAGATACAGCTGTACTACACCACCCTATTCTGTTCTCGGATCATGTTGCTATTGTTCTTTCTGGGATAATAGAGTTCATCAACCTTATAGGATAGAAAATTGGTGTTTATCGGCAAAGGACGTACACTCTATAGTTGACTCTGTAGTTTCAATGGTCGTCACTGGTTCTCCGATATTTTCTTAGTCTCGAAAGTTATCTCTCATTAAAGAACGTCTGTTAGTTTGGTGCACCTCTCATAAACGATTGTGGGATATTGATTGGAAGAATATAGCTTTGTCTATTGGTCAGGCTGCTTCTTGTTTGCATACTCGAGTTGGTCGATGTCTTTTTCTCACTACGAGGGAGGAAAAGGTTGCAGAGGCTCAGGCTGCTTTTATGTTTTGGCGTCCGCGTGCGAAGGTTAATTGGGATGCAAATGGAGAGAGTCATTCTCGTCTCCTTTTCTCTTTGGTTCAGTCTCGTCGTCGTCGTAATAAGATTCACAGTTTGAAGTCCTTAGACGGTTCTTGGGTAGCTGATCCTGTGGGTATTAAGTCAGTGGTGCTTTCGTTCTACAAGGATTTGTGTACCGTCCAGGGGTTCTCTCCAGTGACAGCCTCTTCTTGGTGGGATCAGATTCATCTACCTTCTCTTTCCTCAGAACAGCAGAAGTTGTTAATTCCCTTTTCAGATTTGAAAATTAAGGAGGCCATGTTTAGTATTGACGATAATAAGACTCCTGGACCTGATGGTTTTTCTTCGGATTTTTTCAAGATTCATTGGCAGTTGGTCGACTCTTTGGTGGTTGGAGCAGTTCAGTATTTTTTTACTCATGGCTATATGCTGAAGAAGTGGAATCGTACTTTCTTAACTCTGCTTCCCAAGGTTAACAGTCCGGAGCTTGTTACGCAGTTTCGTCCTATTGGTCTTTGTAACGTTCTTTACAAGTGCATCGCCAAATGTATTACTGTTCGGCTCCGTCTTGTCTTACCGTCTTTGGTTTTTGATTTTCAGAATGCATTTGTTCTAGGACGTCTTATGTCAGACAATGCTCTAATTGCCCATGAACTTCTCTCGTTCATGAATGCTTCTAGGGCTAGGAAACGGTTTTATGCTGCTTTAAAATTGGACATGAATAAGGCCTATGATCGGGTTCGCATTTTTTACTTCATGTTTTAAAGGTCTTTGGCTTTCCTCCATACTAGATACATATTATACACCAGTGCGTCTCTACAGTCTCTTATCAAGTGTTGGTCAATGGGGAACCGTCTTCCACCTTTTCTCCACAGCGTGCTCTTCGGCAGGGTGATCCGCTTTCTTCGTACTTGTTTGTTCTCTATATGGAAGTTCTTTCTTCCATGTTACGCAGTGTGGAGGAGCAGTCGTTACTCAAAGGCATTTGTATTTCGCGAGGAGCGCCTTCTATTTCCTATTTGTTCTTGTAGACGATTCCCTGTTGTTCTTCCAAGTGTCTATATCTATTTGTGATAATCTAATGGGCCTTCTTTCGGATTTTTGTAGTATGTCTGGTCAGGTGAGGTGATCAATCTGCAGAAGTCCTTTGTTAAATTCAGCAGAACACTCCTTTAGATTATCGGGATTATTTGGCTCGTAGTTTGCGGCTTTAATGTAGGGGTTCTTTGGATTCTTATTTGGGATTTCCGGTTGATTTGGGGAGGAGTAAAGCTTCGGAGTTTCGTTTCCTGGTGGATAAAGTGTCAAAGCGTCTTTCTGATTTCGCTTCTCTTTGGCTTTCTTCGGCTGCTAAGTTGGTGATTATTAATTCAGTTCTTGTTGCTTCGTTCAACCATATTTTGTCTGTGTTTCAGATCCCCTCCTCGATCTGTCAACATGTTGATCGAATGCTTGCTCATTTTTAGTGGCGTTCCACATCTTCATCTCGGGGGATGGCCCTTCACGCCTCTTCTCTGCTTCATCTTCCTAAGGGCTTGAGCGGACTAGGGCTTCGTAGTTTGTGTATATATCGGCATCCTCAGCTCCTGCTTTTGCGTGTGTTATCGGCAAAGTATTCCTCCCTTCAGTCCTTCTTGCCTAGTCGGGTTTCTCGGTCTTCGTGGGGCTGTTGAGGTCTTCTGGCTGGTATGTCCATTCTGGCTCAGGGGATTGCATGGAAAGTAGGTTCGGGGACTCAAGTTCGTCTCCTCGAGGATATTTAGGCCCCTGGGGGGCATGTTTCCTTCAAATCAGGTCTGGGTGAGTCGGATGTTCTGACTCATGTTTCTTCTATTATTGTCTGCGTTCATACATGTGGGATACTTCTAAGGTCCATCGGTTTTTCGACAATATTACGGCTTCGCATATTTTGTCTGCTGAACGCCCTCAAAAACTGATGGATGATTTTGTTTATTGGAAATTTACACGTGATGCTAATCGGCTTATGCATTGCTGATTCGCCAGTCCATGGTGTTAGTGGCCAGTGATCCGGTTCCAGCTTCGTGGTGGAAACGCTTTTGGGGGATGCCAATTATGTCCAAGTTGAGGATGTTTTCCTGGAAATTGATTCATGATGCTTTACCTCTTTCTGCTACTTTGCATTCCCGAGGACTTCCTGTTAACCCCGTTTGTATTCTTTGTCATGATCACTTGGAAACGACTTTGCATTTATTTCGGGATTGTTCATTTGTTTCTCATCTCTTGACCACTGGTCCCTTGGGACTCCAGAGTAGTTCTTTAACTGTAAACTTGTTTACTCACTAGTTCACAAAGCTAATTTTTGGTTATGGGAAGTCTCGAAATTGGCATAGTCTAGCCACTTTGGTCTCTCTTTTGTGTGCTATTTGGCTTACTCGTAATTTAATTGTTTTTTAACAGGCGGTTTGGTCTCCTACTTCATTTCTTCATATTTTTGCAGAATGGGTTTCGCGTAGTTTGGAGGCTGTTACGATTTCTAGCTTTGTTTCGTCCTTCCGGCGACGTAAGTTTCCGTGTCCTCCTCCCGTTACATCTGGGTGTTTACATGGCTCGTATTCAGGTATTGCAGATTGTTGTATAGTCTTTGATGGTGCTTGGAACATGACAGGCTTAAGTCGTATCACCTAATCAAAAGTAATTCCTAAGTCCTCTAACTAAAGTAGATAGGGAAGTAGGGTCGAATCCACAGGGAAAGAAGGTTCTTCTATTCCTAATTTACAATTATAGTCTAAATTACCAAGTAACCAAATTTGTGTTTATGGGAATTAAACTAATAATGAACCTAAACAAATAAATCTAAGGAGATAATCACTAATAAAAAGCTCTAAGGTATAGGTTCACCAATAAATAATACTCCAGGGTAAAACATACGATCAAATATCAATGCATAAATTAACCAGATTATAAAGGGTTGTCGCTACGTATTATAATCACATAATTAATCTACTGGTATTAAATCTCATCTCTCGAATCTCGACCTAACCATTAATAGATTAACATGCCTATTGAAACTAAGCCTAAATATCAATTCTCATCTGTCGAATCTCGAATCAATATTGCAAAACTCATACAATTAAACCTGCGCAAATCTAATTGCATAGTATTAAACCAATCAATAGAAAATTAATCAATCATCAATAATTAACAATAATAAATTACCCCTTCGTATTATTCATGGATTCCCAAACCCTAGAATAAAAATCTACTCGAACATAATTAAATCTAAATTAAACAAAACTATTAAATTAAACATGATTAAAAGAATAAAACAAGAAGAAACAAGAAATTAAATAAAATAAAAACTATCAAAACAATAAGTGACGAAAAGCAGAAATATAAAAACTATCTAAAATAATAGTACGAAGTAATCCAATCAACAATTAAAACAAAAGTGACGAACGTAACTAACAGAGCAAAATCAATGTCTAACAAAAACAACAAGTTTTACGGAAAATAATAAGCTAATACTAATTTCAATAATGGGGATCATGAATCTCCACTAAAAACTGCTTACTAAAAGCTGCGTAAAAGCAATAAATCAAAAGAAAATAAAGAAAATAAGCTAACCTCCCCCCTCCACGTCCTACTACTACCCCCTTAAATAGAGAAAAGGCAATGGGTTTTAATAACAAAGCCCACTAATTTCCTACTAACAACTCACTAATTGGATATTTATAATCATCCACTAAAACCCCTTTAACTTGATCTTGTAACTTGAACCTTTATATGAATTGGCCCAATATCCATCTTCTTGATATCCAAATATTGGACTTAATAAAATTAGTACTCCAAATAAATCGAGCCCTTAATCACCGAACCAAATTAATTAGCTCGACCTTGGGCTTTAAATATATGGTCATAAAATACGATCCGACTCCAATATCTTTGTAGTGGCTCAATAAGCTCCGCAATTATCATAAATTTGTAAATTCCTACAAAAGATACCAACTCTATAAAAACACTAGAAAACGTATATTAGTAATAAAAATAGCTCCGTAGAGCTCAAATAAGCACAAATATGACCGTGGGACGGGGAATAAAAATATATATAAAATAGACTCATCAGAACAGTCATGATCAGCAGGGGCAGGTTGGATTTTCAGAGTGAGCTTTCCCCTACTGTTTTGGGTGGGTTTTCCCGAGCTTGTCGGTCTTCGTCAGCTTTACAATCGAAACTATAGACTTGCTTATGGGCTCTTCTGGCTGCAAGACGAAAAGGTTTTTTTTAGTCCTATACTCTTTACGAACAGCACAGTTCTGGTTTCCATGTTTTGTCGTTCGTGTTCGGATGATATTTCTTGTGTTTGGTTGTTGGGGGCTATCCGAGACATTCTATTAAACAATTTGATTCCTATTGGATTCGTAAGGTTCCTCGTCTCAGGGTTTGGGTTGGGTTGCTCCAGCGCACTGGTTGGTTGTTCGGGCTCGTCAACGTCGTTTTCTTTTCTGGTCGTTTTGATATTTATTTGTTTTGGTTTCTTATTTTTAGTTTCCTCTGTTGTTTTGTGTTTTCTTGCTTTAGTTTGCTCTCAGATTGTACTTCTGTTTCGTTATATGAAATATTTGTCAAAAAGAAAAAACTTTATATAGCACGATGTCAAAAATGATCCAGATTGCCAAAACATAACACAAATATTATGAGGGTGTAATACTTTGTCATTACAAGACCATTTGTAGAAGTTTAGGGAACTAATTGTAAGCAGGAAAATTAAGGCACTGTCAAGTTTTTGAAACTGGTGGTCGTGGCCCCATGTAGTTCGTCACCAATCCCATAATTGCAAACCTGGAATCCAAGTAAAGAAAACACATTGGAGGATTTAGAATCAGAACGAACATGAAAACAGCGCAGTTGCCATTGAAGAACAGTGATGATGCATTAGCCAAGGGAAGCACCACATGATGAGGTTTCATAAAAGATATTTTAATATAGCAGCATAGATTACAGTACTCAAACTGAAATCAAACACATGATGGGCAGATAGATACACATGAATAAGTGATTGAATAGAAGTGATTGAATTTATAACCTAGAGTTTTCCTTCCCCTCTAAATGCTACCATAATAACCATCAATAGAATGTGAATAACTAGGTATAACACATGATGGGCAGATAGATACACATGCATAAGGATTACCCATAGCATCTTGACTGAACCTACCAAATACCCATACCATCATGACTGAGCGTCTGAACCTACCAAATATCCATATCATCTCAAATAAACATTAATGTTGGTTTCCAACTTCTGCCATTAATAGCACTTTTAAACCAGTCCTAATTTCAACCATCATGAGACCTTTGGTATTTAGGTGGAACTCCATGTCCTATATTTTGTTTGATTAGGCTTGTTACCCAAAATTCCAAACCACCATCCAGAAATGCAATGCATACGTGAAAGATATTTTATCAAGTAGAGGCACCAAAAAGGTGCCATACCTGAAGCACAGACTGAGAGGTGAGAGCTAGCACGGATACAGAAAATTGCTCTTCAAGAAGAGGCTACCAATCACCCATCCATCCCACATCAAATCTTGTAGCTACTTTGGGCTCTGATTCCATTTTACAGCAACCTTTCAAGTTCTGCTTTCTTCTTCTTCTTCCTTTTTTCCAAACCATCATTAAGCATCTTCTTAATTATTCCATGGGATTACTGCCACCTATGGAGTACATTGCAACTTGCAAGGAAACTTTGACATCTTGTTTTAACTCCCTCAAAGCGTTTCGGCTCTGGAAACTTCAGATAAATTTAAAGAACACGTTCTTTACATTACCAATTTTTAACTTTTATTAAGTTCTTCTTTCCCTCTATGACCTCAAGATTCCATCAGTAATCTTCGCTTTCTTATAATGCAACTAAATTCAAATTTATACACTACAACTATTGACAAGATAGATTTATTCTTGGCATCTAACAATACTATTGTCTAAAGTTTCAAAAACATCATATCAAATCCCAGGAGGCTCTGAATTTCCTGCAATTTTGGTGATTACAATTGATTATCATCTCACTTTCCTATCTCGTTTTTCTTGCAAGATGTTCTGTCAAGTGTCAGGACTTTCAATACCCCCCCCCCCTCTCTCTCTCTCTCTCTCACTCTCACACACACACACACACAGAAATCAAAAAAAAAAAAAAAAAAAAAAAGTGAACCAACTATTTTTTTTTCCTCTGCTGTACTAATAACTGCTCACTTCCTAGCAACCAAAATTCCTCTTTAGTCCACTCTATGGTCTCTATCAGATTCTTGACAAGGACGTAAGATGGGCGATTCTCAGAATTTCACATTGAAAGCAGTTAGCCTGCATGATTTCACAATTCCATATATATTCAATTTGCAACTTAAAACTGAGAAACGTATGCAAAGAATTTTATCAACTCTTAATGATACCTATGTATTGGTTACATCTGGTGGAGTTACATTTGATTGTTTAAAAGGGTTTACTAGAGAAGGATCAGACTCGGATGTCAACCCATCACAAACCCAGCAAATTTGGGAGCAGATACAAAGGAGTTTACCCAAAATCCATAAACTCAAAGCCTTGAACCATTGCAGAAAAAGGCACAGTTGGCTAAGGTGTGAGATGGAGTGATGGACAAGATGATTGCATCCATGACTCTAGGTGAAGAAACATGGATGTTTCCTAAGGCAGAAGAGGTGCGCCTTTAAAGTATGACTAACTGATATAGAGGTCATGGATCTCCAATTCTTTTTTATATGGTACAGTTAATAATGATAAATGGCACAATACTCTAGATCAACTTTCTTTAAATGAATGACTAGTTTCAAGTCACTTTCACCTAGACACCCTTTCCTCACACCCCAGCATGCCTAGACTCAAAGACTGAAGACCCTGTCACCCTGTAACCTTAGAGAATCTTAAACTTAAAGGCTTGAAGCATTGCAGAAAAAGGCATGGCTGGCTAAGGCGTGAGGTGCACAAGACAATTGCCTTCACGACTCTAGGTGAAGAGACATGGCTGTGCCCTAAGGCAGAAGAGGTGCGCCTTCACAGTATGACTAATTAATATAGAAGTCAAGGATCTCCAAATCTTTTTCATAAGGTACAATAATTATTGACACAATACTCTAGATCAACTTTCTTTTACAGCTTGTTTGGGTAATGTTAAGGGAAGGAAAAGAAGGGGAGGGAGGTGAAGGGGAGGGAAGGGAAAGGAAGGGGAAGAAAGAATGGAGAATTTTCCTTCCAAATCTCTCCATTGTTGGAGGGATCATTTTTTTAGAATTTAATCCCTCCATTTCTCTTCCCTCCAATTCCCTTCATCCCCAATTTGCTATCCAAATGAAAGATACTCCCTCCCTCCATTTCTATTCCCTTCTTTTCCCTCCATTTCCTTCCATCCAAACACACTCTTATGGTGTGTTTTGATAAAGAAATAGGAAAGAAAACAAGGGGAGGGAGGTGAAGGGGAGGGGAGGGAAGAAAGATGAGTTTTCCTTCCAAATCTCTCCATTGATGGAGGGATCAATTTCTTACAATTTACTCTCCCGTTTCTCTCCCTCCAATTCCCTTCCTTCCTCATTTGTTATCCAAATGAAAGATAATCTATCCCTCTATTTCCCTTCCCTCCATTTCCTTCAATCCAAAGAAAGTGTTAATGAATGACTACATTTTTCAAGTACAGTAACGAGCATCTCACTTTCACCTAGACAAGTCTTTGCTTCACACCTCAGCATGTCTAGACTCCAAGACTGAATACCCTATCACCTTACCACCTTGGAGAGTCTCTTACCTTCAAGCACTGACATGATAAATCAACTATGCAAATAGTTTTGCTTGACGGACCAGTTTATCTGGACTAAGATATGCTAATCTAAAACCTCCAAACATACAAAAACATGTCCAGCTTCTTTAAGTAACCATTTGTACTCCGCATTTGTTTCCATAAGTGGATACCAACAAGCTTGAGATAGCAATAACACTAAATCTTAGCAAGTTGGCATAACAGTGCTACAAGAACGAAATAATACCACTTCTATGGTAATCAGTAAATCCCAGGTTATCATGAACTAAGTTCAAATTTTGAATAGACCTAAATAAACCCATCTTCCGAAAGAAAAATCATTCCCTTTCCCATGACAAATACATCCTGAGATATATATAGATAAAATTCATATAATTCTCTATCAACGGTAACAAGTCTAACCACATACAATGCAACCAATCGATTCGAGCACGAAAACGAGCAATAACCTGATTGCAAAAAAATAAAGCGAAATTTAAAGGATGAAGGGAAAACTCACATCATGGCCATGGAAATCTGCTTAAGATCATTCTCCATGTTTTTCATATTCACTAATGACTGCGCACAAAAGATTATTGCGAGCCAAGATCCCAACTTATACTGCAACAATCACAACAACAAAAAGGCTAAATTAACAAGAATTCCTCTAAATAATAGCAAATCTCATCAAAAATTAATATTACAATTTCTGGGAAAATGTAGACAAAAGATCATGGAATTAGCAGCTTAAAGATTGAATCTTTGATGAAAAAATAAACAAAAAAAAAAGGATTTGACAAAATTTAATAAAATTGGAAAAGAAAGGAGAGAAAAGAATTAGAATTACCCTGAACATGGCGCCGACGACGGCACATAAGACGGCGATGAAGCCGGAGTAATCGACGGGAAGTTCAGGCGGAACATCTTGAGGAGCTCTGCTGAATGGCTTGGCAGCCGATGGTAGCCTTGGATCGCTCCCTGATGAAGACATTCTCTCTCCTCTCTTCTTCTTCTTCTTCTTCTCTCTGTATCTGGCTTCTGTTCTGCTTACTACAGCTGGAGCGAACCGGGATGTAGTCAAAAGGTTTTGTATGGGGCTAGACTAGTTTTTGAGTCAGGGCAGTGTCCCGGGCCGGGTTACTATTAGGGGCGGCCGTTTGGTTCTCTTTGATGAGGAAAAGGAATGGGAATGATTCCCTTTATAATTGTTTGTTTTGCATCTTTTGTCATTCCCATTCTCCATTTTTATTTTTGAATTTATCCAAAATTGTTCTAAACTCATTCCCCACCCCTCTACCTTTTTCATTCCCTTTCCTTAGCCACCCCTCCACCACCACACACACACTAGCCACCACCCTTTTACCTTACCCCCACCACCCAACTACCACCCAGTCGCACCTCCACCACCATCGCCGCCCCTTCCCCGACCATCACCGCCCACCGATAAGCCTCCCCTCCCCTAAAAACCTTCCCCTCGCCCTTCTTCGCCACCCCTTCCCGACCATCGCCACCCCTTCCCCGAGCATCCACCACCCAGCTACCCTCGCCACACCTCACCTTCCTCTCATCGCCCTTCTTCTCCACCCAAAAACCCTTCCCCTCCCCCGGAAAACCTTCCCCTACCCTCGAAAAACCCTAGAAATCTCTCCTCCTCCCTATAAGAACCGTTGGCCACCCTCGAAACCCTAGGTTGGCGGTTTTTACAGGGAGGAGGGATTTCTAGGGTTTTTCAAGGGTAGGGGAAGGTTTTGGGGGAGGGTGGGGTTTTTGGGCGGCGAGGAACGGCGGCGATGGGTGGGGGAGGTGCGACTAGGGGCGACGAGTGTGACTAGGTGGTGGCTGGGCGGTGGGCTGGTTGGGTGATGGCTGGAAATTTGAAGGAATGAGTTGTTCGTGTGGCTGTGTGGTGGTGGTGTGGTGGTGGACTGGTGGCTCCATTCCTTTTATTTTTTTTTAAAACAAACAACATACTACTTGGAAAGGTTTTTCATTCCATTCTCTTTTATTCCCTTTGTTCATTCCATTCCGATTACCCCCTGCAAACCAAACGACCCCTTATTGTATACCATGAAGAAATATACGGTTTTATTTTGAAAAGATAATACAAATTATGTTATTTCAAATATAATACGGAGTAGAATTGTAGTTGAAACATGTCTATCTTAGTGTTTAAATTAAAGTATTTCCACATGTATAAAGATAACTCAATCGCGTAGTTGATTGAATAGTTAATGTAGGACATTTAGCTCGTGATAGTATGATGTTTATAGTAAGATTAGTAACTCTAGTTTGATCTGGATACTTTGCTCTACTTGTCCACCTGTAAAGTGGTGAAAGACGTGAATTAAATGACTCCATCAAATCGAAAACCTGCATCGATTACTATTGTAACTATATAGTTCTTAAATTCCAGTGGTTCCTCCGGCTACAGCAACCACCATCGTTTTCGCTCAATTGTTGACTTCAAAAACAAGAACAACTGGTGATAAAAATAACTTGTTCAAGATTAGAGGTCTAGCCGAAAAATTGTCATAGTCATTTCTTTTGTGTTGAAACTTACAGGATGATCCATGTAAAATTTTACACATGTTTAATGTTGGAAATATGATGCTGTAACCATGAAAATAATAGAGAAATTAGGGCAAAAAACAATACTCAATTGTAGATCACCATTACAAGGCTCTCAGTGACGATTGCTCCCCAAGGGTAACACAACTACCTTCCAACTCAATACCCCGATTGGAAGGCTGGAATTACTTCAAGAATTGCTCAGATCTCTATCGGAGTTTAGCTTTGTATTTATTGTGTTTAGGGTTTCTCCAAAACGTCATATCATTGAAGAGACCCTTGTTTGTATTTATAAAGTTCAAATATAAGGAAACAAAATAAATCGAAACCACTTATCATTTTATGTTATCCCCAACTAGCCCCAACTGATAGCTACTTCAAAAGTTCAAATAATACATGTCACACATTGTAATCCCCCGTAATTTTGTGAAATTTAAAAATTATATTTTAACATATTTGTGTGAATATTTAATTATGATTATTTATTTACATAATTTATTTTACTATGATTTAAGCAAATAAACTTAATGTTTATAAAGCTAATAAAATTATTTCATTAGATTATTTCCCTACTCATATTTTAATCATGCATTAATATGCAAGTCCAATCCATAAATTAGTAAGCCCATTCTCTCATACCTAAAACCCACTCACTTTAAGCCCAAGTTTTAATCCTAGTTTTATTAGAACTAGGGAAACCCAAAAACCTCACTTCTTATTAGTTAAACCCACCTAAAATTTTCCACTTTCTCACTCCCAAATCCCACGTTGAATTGCTGCTACTGGCTTTTCCTTCTTCTTCTCCCTATTCACGCTTCAACAAAAAAAAAAATTCTGCTTGCGACACCAGCCACCACTGCTGCTCCGGTGTCCACCGCGACCCCTCCACAACCACCAGAGAGGACTTCGTAGAAGGTAATTTCTAGTTTTAAAGTGGCCAACCAACTCGTGTACTCAAGGTACGTACAAGGATACAAAAACCTTGACTCTAGGAGCATGTATAAGAACTTGGAAACTTAGAATCGTGTTAGGAAAACTTGTAGATTGGTTGAAATTGTTTGGTAGTGAGGTTGATTGATGATTAATGTGATGATTGGTTTGATTTATGTATGAGAAATACGTATTGATTTTCCTTGTAAGTATTATTTATACAATAACTTGCAAGATGAGCTTAGAGGCAAAGGTACAAGGATATATGGAATGAATTATTTTATTACTTGTTCATTAATATTGAAATGGAATGAGTAAAGGAAGAATTAAAGTCTTATAAGACGAGGTCGAGGATTTGAGGTGCCTTATGCACTTAAGGTGTTTATACACCGAGGTAGTTAAAGGACTCAATAATAAATATTGTTTGTCACTAATAAATCAAGACTTGAATTGGAAATTTAAATTGCTTGAGTGATTAATGTTTGATTGATTGTATTATTTTGCATTAGAGTCATCACCAAGTTTGAAATGGTAAATCACGTAAAGTGCAAGAAGGATGAGCAATAAAACTCTGGATTTGTGCCTATCTAGAGTATTGACAAATAGGGGTTGGGGTTCATGGGGTATTAGCCGTGTACTTTTCAGAGGCCGTCTGATCTACGAGTCTCTTGTTTTCAAATACTTTTAAAATTATAAGGAGTTAGATGAGATCTCATACCAGCTATGGCCACGGAGTCGCGCCCGTCTACCATTGGATGTTTATTAATGTTTCCGAAAGGAGGCATAGGGTTTTCTTTTATTAATGTTCCGAAATGGAGCATAGGGGGACAACCTGGTCTATTGCTTAATCCAATCAATGAATGAAATGAATTATTTATTATTAATTAGTGAAGTCTTAGTAATGTTAACAATTGAGTCATGTGTTCGAGTCAATGATCATATTGTGTGTGTGCAGATTGATTTTTAGTAACATGCTAGGGCTCTTTGCTATATTTCGTAGATTGTATGTACTCAGCGTTGCTGATTGCGTGCTTTTGTGTGTCTTTTCTTGGTCATGGCCTTCGCCTTTCAATGACCCTGTAATGATCCATTTTTACTCTTGTAATATTGGGGAGCAGATTAATCACAGGTCCTACCCAATCAGAACTTGCATCAAGGTGATGGGATTTTGAGTGGAGTGTTGGTTAACCTCACAGTTTATTTCATTTCATTTTATTTCATAAGTTGGATTTATTTTGACTCTGATTTTATTTACTTACTATTTTAACGGGTTTTGAATAAGGGCCATAATAATTCCAACTTGTAAGACTAAATTTGGTTTTGAAACTTATTTATAACTGAGTTAGTTTTTCCGCTGCTAATTTCTGAACTAGCCTTAACGTTTGAACACGTGGCGGTAGCACGTCAGTAATTATCTTGCGGATTGTTAAGGGTATTTACAGGTTTTAAAGAGAGAATTATTGGGGTGTTACACACACGATCATGTAGAATAGGGTACACAACTGTGTAGATAGGTTCGTATGCAAAGCCACATGACCGTGTAGAGAAAGGTACATGGCTATGTGTATCATACAGTCGTGTTGTACAAGATACACGACCATATAAAGAATACTTGTACAAAAATGAGTTTTCAACAAAGGAATTACTCTCGCCTGCTCGGTCAGACGAACCAGCCCGATTAAGTCTTAGATAAAACCTTTCTGGTTGCATTACTAACTCCAACATTTAACATTCCTTAGACCAACAAAATTAAGACAATGAATACTTAAAGTTGAGCATGGGTTAATTTCCAACCAACAATCACACATGCACGACCATATCCTCCATATTTCACAAATACATAGCCATTTCATTCGGACTATGCATATTTTGGTCAAATAGTGATATTTCACCGATATTCTTGAACGATTATTACTTTAAGTTAAATTAACACATATACCCCACGATAAACATTCCAAGTTTATCTAAACTAATTAGTTCTAGCATATATTGAAGTTTTGTCGGGGTTGGCTAAACTTGACCCGCACCCTATCTCATACGAGTAAGTTATATGTTGTGACGCATGGCTCAAAGCCTCGAACCCATGTACCCATTTTGTCACGTTGGGTCATGTTTTTGTGTTTTAGAGTTTTAGACCAAATTCACATACTTCTCCTCTTTGGCTTTGTTTGGTTCAATATTCGTAAAGGAAAGAAAGGGAATGAAGGAAAGGGAAAAGAAAGGAAGAGAAGGGAAAGGAAAGAACCTATATCATCTAATGTTTGGTTTGATATTACAATATTAGTAAAAGAAGGAAATTGAGATAACTCTATTGTTTGGTATGACATTCATAAATTTTTCAGTTTAATAAATTTAATTTTTTTTTTCCCTTTCAAATTCCTCGGGGAAGATTGTGTGAAGGGAGCTTTCCTTCAATTTCCCTTCATTTCCTATCAAATCACATTTAATTTTTAAAACCAGAATCTATATTTTTCCTTTCCTCTTTTTTCTTTTTCTTTTCCTCCCAATTCCTCCCAACCAAAAAGGCCTAGAAGTGTACGCTGAATCCTCCATTGAAGCGGCTCTAAGCTTTCTCTCCTCCATTGAAACAGCTTCAAAGGTAAGATTTTTTTTTTCTTTTTTTTCTGTGATTTAATAATCGAATATCAATTTCACAATCCAGGGTTTATCTTCACTCTATCGTAAATTTGATTGTAAGTATAGTCAATTTAGGGTTCTTGTAAGGTGGACTATAGAACTATGGGTTATAATTACTGAAGTTATGGAAGATTATCTATGTGCAATTTACGTTGATATTATTAAGAAAAAGGTTGAAACACCCTTAATTTGAATTTTGGTTTTTGAGAAAATTTAGCGCCAATTTCCTAACATTAGGATTATTCATTTATTCTGGTTGTGCAAAATTTACTGTATTATCATATTTGTGGATTTGACGAGCAAACAAAATTCAATTTTAAAATTGACAATCGGGCACAATGTAATGTGACTGTGAATTAGGACTTTGACTCCTGCTCTTGGGTTTTCTTCTCTATTGGGTGGGAGGATTATGATTTCAATATGCAGTGTTTAAGCTCTAGTTGAATTTTTCAAGCTCGAGGATAGTAAGTGTCGCTTTTTTTTTTTTTCTTTTTTGGTGTCGTCGATGTTTGTTGAATCAAACCACTGATTACACTGTGTAGTTGCCATTTGCCAGGAGCTCATGCTAGTGAACTATGAACTCATAATCGGAAATGGAAGTCGTCTTTACACTTGCCAGACTAGTACAAGTATGAAACAATTTTTAAAAAACGAAGGGAATACTTCCTGATTTTTTCTCTGCTCCCTTAGTCCCATTCTTATACTGGAAAACTCCTTAAAATCCTACAGGAAAAGTGGGAAGCAGAGCAAGAGTGATTGAGTTCCGATGACAGATATAGCCTCACTTTCTCTCTCCTTCCCCTCTGGCGCAACCTCCTCCACCACCCCGACACATTCATATTCATGTCTCCAGCCTCAAACACCAAAAACCCCAGAAATTTCTCCTTCAATGCTGAGGTTATGGAGGCCACAAGCTCAGAGAAATCTCCGAAATCAATGGTCCAAATTATTCTCCTCTAGAGATCAATGGCGCTCTTCTTTTACTTCAGGTCGATCCCATGCTACCTCTCTCGTTAACTCTTACCTCTCTATCAGGTATTGTAATGTTATAATCCCACTTTCTATTAATTTTTCATGAACATTTCTTTTTAATTTCCTTATTTCGACAGTAGTTGAATTTTTCAAGTCGATAAAATCGGTTCAAGTGCACGAAACAATGATTTATCAATTTTCATACTTCCTTTGTCTCCAAATAAAAGTCTTATTTGCCTTTAGCTTAAGCTTTTAGAGAGGTGAATAATAAAAAGAAGGATTTCAAGGTTTTTAATTATTGAAGGTGAATATTAAAAGAAAAAAAAAAAAAGTGGTGTTTGGTTGATTAAAAGTGTATAAAGAAATTAATGGAGTTTAGTTGATTAAAAGTGAATAAAAAAATAAATTAAAGTGAAATGAGACTTTTATTAAGGGACAAAGGTTTTGGGTGAAATGGGATGTTATTTGGGAACGAAGGGAGTATGCAATTTCAGTTTGCAAGTTAGCCAAGATATTAGTTGATTTGAACTAAATTGGTTAATACTAATCATTGTTTATTTTGACACACTATAATAATCTAACAACGACTTTAATTCCCCAAAGGATGGGTTCGGTTGCATGAACCAAGAATCTAACTAAATGCTATCATTTACAATGTGGGCTATAATCAATAGAAGGAAGTGTGATACTATTGGGGATGTTTTTTTAGAATATCAGTTTGTTGGTTTTATTTTATTTTTAAAGTGATTTTGATATGGAGGGAGGCCTGGAGGGTGTGGTGGAGTGGATTACATTACATTCAGTTGAAGTTTCTCAACATAGAATGATGAAATTTATTAAAATTATTGATGGATCAACACTGTCTGTGTCAGCACGGAAAATTTGATGGACATTTTCATGTCAATACATTTGAGATATGACATTGAAATTTATTTGAACAGAATCTTTGACCATGTTTAAGAATTAAGATGATTTGAGTTTTCATGCAGATATATGGATGCTATGGATTTGGGTGTCTTGGATGATATGCCCAATATACGAAAAAAGGCTTGTTCTAAATTACTTAAGCAGCTGGTTAGTAGGATGAGTCATTTTATTTTTGTTTTCATTGTGTTTAAATTTAAGCTTTCAGCATAAGTTGAGTGAGGATATAGCAAGAATATACTCTTTATTATATATTTGGTTAAAGTGATGACCGTATGTATATTAGGGGATTTTAACTTGTTTTTTGTCGTTAATCATATTCATGTAAAGGCAAATGTATGAACAATTGTTCTTCACCCAAAATAGAGAAAAAAAAAATAGAGAAGAAAAAATATATTTTGTTGGAAGTATCTCTAATTTTGATATTATTTTAAAACTTATGTCAGGAGCTTCAACGCAACCAACTTTTATCATCCTATAAGGCTATGGTATGTTTTCAAGACCTAGGATGTATTCTCTTTGCTTAACATAAGGTGTTCAATTCTGATGTGGTTGTAATTGTGATTTGACTTAACTTAACTTCGACTGTATTTTTACATTGATATAATAAAAAATAATATATATAATAAACAATAGTAAACTTTATCTAGTGAGATCTTGTTAGATTTGTATTAATGTGTATTCATATATCTAAATGTCTTAACTTTAATTGATACAAATACAGGTATCTGGCCATAAGTAAATGGAAATAAACAAAAATTTGGTTTGACTTTGATAAGAATAAGTAACAAGTTTTTGTAATAAGTTGAAGAGAGAAGATCTTGAATTGTCATCCTCCAAATTAGCTAGAAAGTATATGCATCAAGAGCTATGAATATGTCATGAAAAAGAATAACGAGTATTGTTATGTCAATGGAAGAGCAATAGTCAAACCCAAAGATGCCCCCCTCTCTGCCTAGGGTGCGCTTAAGGTGTAAGTTTCAAACTTTCCTTAGGCTTTGTATCACTAAGATATGCAGCTTGTTGCTAGAGTCGGGTGTTTTTCGTCATTGTTAATTTTTGTCAGATTTATTGGTGGTAGTCTTCTGGGATTATCATTTTCAGTGGAAATGCTATCAAGAGGGATGTCTGCGATTTACTTTATTAAATAGCATTGGATGACCTATTTGCAGGTTGCACTTGTAGTTGACATGGTGACTTTGAGCAAATCGATGAGGTGCTTTTCAAAAACTACTGGCAGTGCCATTGTACAATATTCTACGTTTTCAGAGAATAGCAATGATACTGGTGATGGTGGAGGAGCTCCAGTTGTCACATTTTTGTCTGTCTGTGCATTTGGTATGTTGATAATTGTTGTTTTGTTTATGCAAGCTTTAAGGATTGGAGGGTAACAACTCCATATATAAGTACTTTTTGCTAGAATACCTTACTGCTTGTTCATTGTTGTATGATGGAGTTTATTAGATATATAATAGCCTTGTGCAAAATATTGACCTCTACGTAGCAATTCACATCATTGGAAATGTTAGTGGAAAATGACAGAGCTTCAAAGAGAGCAGGCCTATCTTCAAATATATTACTGATGGAGTTCTTTTAGTAATGATGTCAGCTAGATATCATTGTTGATTACAATTGTATTTGTTCATTATTTTGTGTAACTGGTAACAAAAGAGATCTAAAAGACAAAAAAGGTTGTACTCAAGCTATCTTGTTATGGAGAGGTTAGGGTGGTGGAGTAAGATGTGTTGCTCACAAGTCCTAGTTTAGTTCACTGATTGAAAATCAACATGATGCGTGGATGTGTGGGAGAAAATTGTCTTAATAGATCAGCCTTTTCATCTAATCATCTTATGAATCTTAGATTACTGGCTAAAGTTTGTTTTCTGGAAAAGGTGTGAGTTAAAAACACTTTATTTACAAAAAAAAATGTGAATTTTATTTCCTAATCTTTTTCCTGTAGTTGGTCATGTAGGGCATAGAGGAAATGTGGTAGAGGTGTTTTGTACATTGATTATCACTGATTATTATATCAGATAAAATCTACCTCTGCTCTTATACTTGTTCTTACTTTGTCATTGCATAACAAATAATAAGCTTTGAACTTAAATCCCTCAATGCCTGCTCAGTGTAGGCATTTATGCTGATGGTGTAGTCAATTAGTCATTAATGTTGACAATGCTGTTTTCTTTTTCTGATTATACTCTTCCATAGAACATCATTTTTTGCAATGTATTTCCTACTTTAGGCCTCAGATTTTATGCTCTACTTATAAACATTTGATAGAACTGAACATCCTTTTATCTAAATGTCACAGTCTCTATTGTTATGAGCAAACTAAGTGTATACTATATCTTCTATTTTTTCAATAATTAAGTATTGGTTTGGGGGGATTGCATCTGAGCAAATATTAGAACTGTTACATTCCTATTTAACTTCCAGTGCTCATTATATAATCATCTTTTGTAATTGATTTAATGGATGCATAAAGTCAACCAATTTAGTATTCATCCATGCTCTGTTGAAAGTTAGTTTCTTGTTACGGTATCAAATACCAGTGAGCTAGCTGAATGATCTCGGTTGAGAACTTGAGTTTTCTGATCTTTGAACCTTCTTTTCAAGCAAAATATTACTTCTGCCATTGGACAGTGGACAGACTGAAGATTAATTTTTGTGACATAGCAGACAGACTTAACACTTCTGTACACAATTTAGTACCTACTCAGTGGATTGTAGGAATGGTGTGGTGGTTAGACATCAACCTTCCTGCTTCGGGGCAATCGGTTTGAATTATATTACCCCCATCCTCTCCCTGCACAGCTTGGCGGCGGCAGGGGGTGGGGGGGCGATCTACTCCCTACATCAGGGGGAAAAAAGTAAAGAAAAGACTGATTTTTGCTTCTTTACAATCACCATTATGATTGTACTAAAATCATGTAGTGGGGCTTATAAAGAGGGGTAAATTTGAACAAAATGCAATAAGGACATCATCTATACGTAGTACTTAATCTCATGCTGAGCCTTTCAAGCTGAAGGGGAGTGTTTTCTGCCTTATCATGAAGAAAACTTATGCATGTAATGTAAGTCATAAGTTGGTCTTCCATGGCTCCCTGAATGGGTGCAGCTTTTAATAGAGTCTGTTGAGTAGGAATTAACTTGTTTCGGCTTTTGTTCTTCCTTCACAACACCATGATCTCTGTTGTATACTAAGATTTTGTGAATTGTTGTGAATGTTTTTGTTCAATTGCACAAAATATGGATTTCCAAAACTTTGCTCCCAACTTGATTCTGCAGAACGTCTCACTACCACACTTACTGCAGATAGTACATCACATTGACACTCCTTGTATGTTAACAGGAACAATTTAGGTACTAGTATGAATGTGTCAGATTTCATATATCCTGCTTTTCTTGATTTATACATTTAATGTGGAATGATATGCTTAAACTCTTCATATAAGATGCTTAAAAATGTGCTATCTTTTTTTAAAGATATCTGATAAGTTTTAGCACTCGTGTTTTAGAGATGTTGGCCGAGGAGCTTGTCGAAATGTTCAAACAAGAGCTTGTTTTGAAGGTAATTGTCTTAATGTAGAATTCACATTACCTTTTCATTTTCTGTGTTCAAAATTAATTACTTTTTTTTATTTCTTACTTGTGTCAACAGCGTCTGCTTGTAGTTGAGCTGCTCTCCAAGTGTTGTCCAGAATTAGAGCAATTCAATCAATTGTCCTGGAAAGATGAACTTTATCATGGTGAAGCTAATGAATTGAACATGTGCAACTTGTACTCAAAAGATCCAGCTGAGCCATTTCTTCCCAAAATAAGTGGGTGGCAATCGAAAACTTCAACTGTGGAGTCTGAGAAAAATCCAAGCCACGATGTTTTGCAGGTATGATGGAACCAAAATGACATGTAACCATATGCTTAGAATGACTGCAATTATGATTATTTATTTTTTAATTTTGTAAATCATAGGTATCCTCTTTTACATGTCCTGACTCTGAAGAAAATAACTCTGGCCTATGTGGTGTTAGGCATGTGTTATTATAAGTTTACAGTTAGTGTGGAGGTTTGTGTTAGCTGAAGTCTTAGCAGTTCTCTCATGCCTTTGTCTTGTAGCTGAAGTCTTAGTGGACAATTAATTAGTATAATTTGTTTCTTAGTGCCATAATAGGTCAGGTTTTTAGGTTATTCCATACTCCAAAAGCATGCATTGGTTATAGAGCACTGAAAGTGTACCACCGTGCTGGCACCTCTCCACTCCTCTACCCCTCGACAGCCCAAACCCTCATTATAACCAATACCCAGTGAACTATGTAGACTTCCTGGTAAATTAGAAGTACAATAAACATAGTATAGCCCAATTAGCAGACTTTTATATTATTCATATATTTTAAAGTGACTAATTTCTTGAGAAAGAAAGGATACACTAACTTGTGTCCATCACTCTACTTGATTGTTGCCACATCATCCAAAGTATGTACTCTTAATTGTACCTTATAATTCCTCCGTTTCACTATAATTGCACACTTGCTACTTTCCAATGTTTCAAAAAAAATCCCAACACTTTTTTTTTTTTTGGTAATTTTTACAAGTTAATTTAATACTTTATTCATACTTTGCCTATTATTTTTCCCTCTTCACAATATCTTCCTTGTAATATATGTTTTGTACTTCTTACTTCTGTATAATCACATGGGTTGCTTTGCCTCTCACCTCTTGCCTAAATATATGTGCTTTATTCAAGTTTTGCAATTTTAGTGTAGTGGAGGAAGTACTTAGTTACTTTGCTATTATAATTTTAAAAAACATGGCCGTCTTCTAATGGTTAATGCACCAGATTCTAAGCCACAACTGCTATATGTAACATGGTGTGTGATGCTACTCATGACAATTATATTTTTTGAAAGAATGACAATTATATTTATTTTGTGTAGGTGTCATATTGCTCTATTTTAATTTCACAGTTTGTGTTCACATGCTATTGTGAACACTGATCTAAAGGGAAGAACTTAGTATAGAAAGGGGTGCTATAAATACGATTTCTAATGTTTATCTTTCTGTGACAGGTCTATCTCACAACATGGCTTGCAGAGGTCAATATAGATACATCCAGGTAAAGTATACTACTACAGTAGATATGAAAAGAAAGAACGTAAAGAAAACCAAAAGTTTATAACCAGTCACTCTTGCTATTATTAACATATGTATGCAGAGGGGGGTGGGTTGTACTTTTTCATAGGATCAAACAGGGCAATGTTGAATTTTCCATAATGTTTTTATTGGAAATGTCATTAATCTCTCCATCCCATAATTTACTATGCACATTAAATTGGCAATAAGGTATAAAAAAAATGTTGAGAGTAGAATGAAAATTTTGAAAGGGGAAAGGGAGAGAAAAGTGGTTAGAGCAAGCATTAAAATTGAGAAAGGTTTTATTATGAATATCCCAAAAAGTTTATAGCCAGTTGATCATGGGACGAAAGCAGCACTTCATATTGGTGATTAAGGCTAGTAAAAAAATGAATAGAGCCTGAGAATCTGAGCTGAAAGAACAGTGGTTAAAAGTTGGCAGATCTTCTTATTCAGTTCCCTGGCCCCAGCGCTTCCCCTTCTACTCTCCTAGAGGAGCCAATCACCTGCCCTCCCTTTTCTAAAACACCTACATGCTTATATAGCTATCACATTGATCATTTTTATAGGTTCATTCAAGTTCTTGCATAACTTGACAGGAACATAAACAGAATAGTACGGAGATGAGCTTTACCCACTCTCACAAACCACAAGAGAGCAATAAGTGTTTGTAATTTATACGACGTTAGAAGTGAAACCTGCAAAAACCAATTTTACATGTATGCTCCATTGTCATCTCACAATGATTGGTTATAGAGTTGATGAAGTTAGTAAAAGATTTGGCATATTATTTCTTGCCACACTAGCTTAGAAAAAGTCCTAGCACTTTGTTTGGGTAGCAAGATAGAAGATTAAGGAAGGGGTGGGAAAGAGGCAGAGGGGTTGGAGCTCATTTTCCCTTCAAATCTCTCCAATTTTGGAGGGGAGGTGTTTTCTTCTCCCCAACTTCTTATCCAAACAAGGGGACTTGTTACCCTCCCTTTTTCTCTGATAAAACTATGTCGTCTCCTAATTAGGCATTGGGTTTTAGGGAGAATCGGAATAAAGGTTGGCTTCTCTATCTATACCATTTCCCAAGGATTTTGACATCCTAGCACCGGAAAGAAGAGAACATTAAAGTGTGTTTGGATAGAGAAAGGGGAGGGAGTGGAAAGGATGGAAAGGAAAGGGAGGGGAGGGAAGAATGATGAGTTTTTCTTCCAAATTCTCTCCATTGTTGAAGAAATTCTTCAATTTAATCCCTTCATTTCTCTCCCCCTCCAACTTTCTTCTTCCCACATTTGTTATCCAAATGAAAGATAATTCATCCCTCCATTTCCCTTCCCTTCTTTTCCCTCCATTATAGAATTATTTTATTTTTCCTGCAGCTTGTAGATATTATCTAAGCATACTGATGTGTTTCATGACTTTCATCAGGGTGGAAGAAATATTTTTAATTGTTGGGGAGGAACTACGAACGAGCTTTTCATGAGCCTTTCAGATGCTGGCATTTACAGGAAAGAGATTAGATGAAGTGTATAGGTCATAGGGTCATATATAAAGATTAAGAAAGCTTAGGCCAAATATTTGTGTTGCCTTGATTAATTCTTTTGTTCTCGCATGTTATATTATTATTCTCCTTGTTTATGTATGTCAGCTAATTTATTTCAGTTAAATCATCACCATTGTTTACAGCCTATTAGCGTGTTGAAAAAACAATGTTGTCTCAGATCTCTCTTCTTACCCAGTTACCCGCCCCTTTTCGGTAGTTATGTGGAGAATGGAGATGTATAACAGTTTCAAGCTTCTCTTTTAGTTTTAAGGATGAATCAAAAACCTCTGCCAAAGTTATAAGTCATGTATAGTTAGCTAGCATTGGCATCTACTCTGTAATTTCAAATGCTTTGTTTACTTCCATTTTCAAATTTTGTTAATGTGTTCGCCTACACCTCTTTCTCTATCCTTTTCCCTTCTGCCTTGTTCTCATTTTTTTGACTATCGGCCTTTTCTCGAACGATTACTTTCAACCCAATATACATAATTCAACTTTTTTCGTCTGACTCCAACATTCATATTATTGTTTCGATTTTTGAAGATTTTAAACTTGTAATTTTTTAAAATGTGGAGAAAAGATGTGATTTTGCATGGGTTAAAAAAGTTTGCAAATATTTGGATTTTAAGATAGATTAGAAAAATAATTTTAAAATAGAAAACTTCATACTTTTAGATTTTCGATGTCATAAATTATTTATGTTATTAACTGCACCTACCCCCTAAAGTGTTTCTGGTATAATAACTCTTGTCAATAAAATACCTATTCTAACTATTCATTGCTTAAGGTTATGTTGTTGAACACAACCGAGTTGTACTTTGTGTTGTTCTATCTAATTTTGTCAATGAAAATAGGAGTATTATGTAGTAGTTAGAATAGGTATTTTTTTGTCCAATTTTCGAATATCATCCTTGTCTTTACCTATATTCAGTTAAAATTAGTTTTACAATTAAAAAATTATTAATAAAGCATTTATAACCAAACTTTTAAACTTTTTAGAAAAAAATGCCAAGAAGAATCTCATTTTCAACCATCTTTCACAAATAATCCCAACAATGATTATCCGGGCCTCCACAAGCCCCCATGTGACTTCACCCCTGTTCTCAGCACCATGCAGATAAGAAACAAATCCCTTTTGATAAGAAACAAAATTTCTGAAGCTCATACCAACAAATTCTTCTTGCCATTTTCTGGTTGCATTGAGCCACTGAACGAACCGTTAAGAAGAAAAAATCAACTCATCAATGGATGACATAGACAAGTTGATCTTGAGTGTGGATGAAGAACTCAACAACAAATGAGCCATTAGACGAGTCAACGGATAGGGAGGACCATGGCAAGGTTGAAATATTACCCTGCCATCGAAGCCAAGATTGTCTACAACAACTACAACCAGATAAATCTGGTTTAGGTTTTTGAATCGTTTTAGGAAAATTAAAATTTCTAAAAATGAACAAGTATTTTGTTAAGGAGATTCAAGGGGAAGGTGATAGACGGAGATGGATAAATCTAATATCGAACCTCCAATATCTGAGATTAATAATCAAAATAAGAAGTCCATATCAATCCTAATCTAAAATCCTTCTCAACAAAATGATAACCAGACACATCTCACATAATGTCTTTCTCAAGGATACGAACTTAACGATGAAAGAAATTAAATAAAAACACGTTTAGCTCAAAATAGATGAAAATATAAAAAGGGTAGGACAAAAGAAACCAGAGGAAGTACAAAAGACTTCGTTATAAAGCACATCCATAATTTTCCATGTATCTTTCAACACCACTCATTTGAAAAGCGATAAATGTAATGCATGAACATATCCTCTCATGTCTTACTCTTTTTTTTTAAAAAAAAAAAATTATTGAGGGACTGTATGTCTTATACTTTGTCAAATTAATCGTCGCATTTTCCTTGCCCAAATTAATTGCAACATTATTGTTATCAGTAAACCAATAATCCTACACTTGATCTTAGCCAAAAGGCCGAGAAGGGTATTTTTATTTTGATTCTACTATTCTTGAAATAAATGCCTAAACGATTCGCCGCAACTAACATGCAATGGGAGTACATTTTCCAGTAGGAAATACATTTGGCAGGAAAAAACAATAATTCTTTCACAGGACACTGTTTTGTAGCTTGAATGTCAAACTTCCCCGTACATAAGCGCCAAAACTCGAATGGAAGCAGAATATAAAAGAAATACTAGAGTACTCTTTTTCCTTTTTTTTTTTGGTTGCAGTAGTAAAAGTGGGTAACGTACTCACATAGTCAGAGTTGAGAATCTCATGAAAATGAGCATTAATCATTCATCTTCAAGTTCTTTACATATGGCAACATACATGTCAGAAATCTTCATCTGCCATTTCTACAGACCTAACACTTCCCCAACACAGCCTAATTCCACCCCAGTGCCTTTTTACCCCAACTGCGGCTTAATTTATACAACCAACAAAATCTTAGCATCCGCAGATCTAATCCATCATACATAACTGGAAAAAAAAATTGATGAACAAAAAAAAAATAAAGGGAAAAATAAAAAATAAAAGACGGCCAAATGAAGATTGATATCGAAGCCGTCAAGCCACCATGAACTGGCCGAGAAATTTACTTCAAAGGCATCAGAACAAGCATATATATAAATTTGCTAACCTTAGGCTATCTACTTTTTAAAACACTTTTAACAACCAGGGTAGGTTTTTTTCCTCCCTGTATGCCCAAAAAACACAGATTGGGGCAACTTCAGCTTTTTACCACTTCACAGGAGATTTACAGTGACTACTTTTTTTTCAAGAATAACATAATTGCCTTAGATTGAAGAGATAAAACAGCCTCTGTTCTGTAAAGAAGGAATTCTTACTGTCCATGTCCTCCGCCCTCATCAGTGTGGTTCTAAATTCAGGTGCACAGTGCCATAATGCCATATGTGAGAGGAAATAGAACTTTTAAGTGAAATATAGGGATTGTGGAGACAATAGACCCAATTCGGGAGGAAAATCAATAAATTAATGATGATCAAAGTGAAAGACATTGTACCCTCTCAGGGACATTCCTAGGCATGGGATGAGCAGAAACATATCTCTGTGGACATGGTTTCTGAACCGTCACTATTGCATCAGAGGACAATGAGGTCTCAGCCCCGTCAACTTGACCTCGGCCATGGAACCTAGCAAAACGATTAATGACCGAAAATCTCTCTAGATCCTGACAATCCAATCTGAAGTCCAGAATTGATGCACGCTTGTCCAATCTGTGAGCAATTGCAAACACCACCAATCATGAGCAATAAGGCATGAAACAATACAGCTATAAACCTACTATATGTGGGCTGTGAGAATGTCAAGATGCATGCAGCACTTGACTGGAATAATCATGAAAAGAGAAAAGCAATGGCAGCAAAATCCCATAAAGAACCCGTGATCCAGCTTAAAAACAACTAAAACTAGCCCGATAAATTTGGTTCCTGAATATAATTGATACACATATTTTACCAACCCAATAATTTAAGGGCCAAAACGAATCTATTCTGATTAGACCAATGTGATCAAGTGAATTTATTTAGTACTTCCTCCGCTTTTTTATACTTGCAACACACCTTCTTGGCAAGCTATTTAAGGAAGTGATTAGACTAGGTAAACAAACGAATTAAGCTAATATCCAAACCATAGTACCTTATCACTTTCTTCGTATTGGTGGTATAAATTTGTCAATTAATTTGTCCATTTACCTAACTTAAGATCTTCATTAAAGTGCGTGCCAAATTAATGTATTGCAAGTAAATAAAAACCGAGGAATTCTATGAGATATTGCAAAAAGCAAATTATATGAATTATACTAAACAAACCTAGAAAATTTCACATTATAGCCACTATAATTGACAAATTTAGAAAATTTCACAACACACACACACAAATGAGAGAAAAGAGACTTAAGAGCATATTTGGCAAGTGTAATTTAATGGTTGGAAACAGAATCAATTAAACGGGTAATGATTTCCACCTATTTGTTACCTCTCTAAAACCTAAGGTAAAAATTACCCTCACCCTCCTCAAACAAAAAGAAAGGGAGAAGTGATTCCTTTCCATATTTAAACCAAACAAATAAAAAAGGTTAGAGGTCATTGTTTCCTTTTCCCCCTCCTATTTGTTTCCTTTCCCTTCTGTTTCCAATGTTCGTACCAAACACCCCCTTAGTTAACCATATGGCTACCTCAAACCAGATACTTTAAGCTGCAATCATGCACTTTGTAGCCCAAATTCAAATAACCCAATATACGCTTAGACTTAAACCTAAAGCACCTACTTTAATATCTAACCAACCTGTTTGAGAAGTCTAAAATGCTAATAACATATACGTCCATAAAAGAAATTACAGCATTTCTATTTAACAATAACCAACAACACGGATCTGAGCAAAACTACTTCCTCCCTACGTAGTACACAATTCTATGATACATACAGAAGATATTTCATCTTTTATTTCGGTAATTCTATGCATCGTCATTTCACAAGGATTAAAAAAAATAAAATAAAATAAAATCTGGACACTTGTTTAAAAACTGCAGACAAAAACAAGTTGGATAACATAGAAAAGCTGATGGAGGACCAAGCAAGCTCCAGAAAAATCAACAGATCAAAAAGGCCACGGGCCCATAGCAGACAGATTACAACCAAAGTATTAGGTACAACACAAAAATATTTCATCAGCATAACAAATTGACATTCATAACAGAATCACAATTTGGTTGTGCAAAAAGGAAATAATTGAGCCAAATGACCATTCTGTTAAGGATGCTTCTCTGATTCTATGTCACATAGAGTAACCGAGGCCAGCCTAGTTGCCGTAAGGATCTTTTCAAATACTAATCAAATTCTTTACCGAGGCAAAAAAAAAAAAAAAAGGCCGGCTATCCAGAAGATCCAGAAAATATGCACCATAACCTCAGAAGTGAAAACGAAAAGCTACAATTTAAGGAACAGAAAAGCCAAAAATGTTACCTTGATAAATCATTTTCCAGCCCCTTAGCTCTAGTAGCAAAATCTTCTACAACTTTTGTAAAGTACTGATCTCGAATTCTCTCTTTGGGCTTAACCTTCCCAGACCGGCTATAAGTGCACCACGGTAACAAAAGTCAAATATTAGTAAAAAAACATTTTTTTTTTTTATCTAAAACCAGCT